AACCCTTTGTATGCACAAATGTTACCCATTTTATGGATAAAAGTGACCCATATAAAACATAGTATTACTCCCCTCCAATTTGAATGATATGCTGCCTCTGGTCATTATCTCATATGTCTGTATTAAATCACAGATGCAAATCCAATTGATGCTTCTAGTTTAGATCTTAGAGGATCATTTGTTGGTGTGGTAAGAGAAACATTTGAAGAAATTTTGGAATTATATGAAAAACATGCTGCTATACTAGGGTTTTCAATAAGAAAGCATACAACTAGATACATCACACACACCAAGATAGTAAGTGAGAAAAATTATGTGTGTTCAGTTGAAGGAAAGAGAAATTCAGGTGACAAGAAAACAAAGTTAGTTGAAATGGTTGATGAAGAGGATGTAAATGTAAAAACAAGGAAGCCAAGACAAGTAACCATTATAAGATCGAATTGCAAGGCATGCATAAGAGCAAAAGTGAATAAAGAAGGACAGTTTGAGGTGGTGGCTCATGTTATTCAGCATAACCACGATCTAACAAGGTCACAGTGGCATTATTTACATCGTTCTGACAGAAAAATTACAGAAGAAAAAGCTAAAGAAATCAAAACAATGAATTCTTCAGGTCTAACTACAATGGACACTTACAATTACATGGCTACAAAGGATGGAGTAAGAACAGAATGTAGGTCATAGTGTTATAGATCACCTGAATTTCTGCTCAAGGTTAAGAATGGAATAAATTGAGGCTGGAGATGCTCAAACATTAGTGAACATTTTAAATCAAGAACAATTAGAGGATCCTGTAGACACCCATTTGTGTCTCCCCAAAACCAAACCCGGTGATGAGTACCTTTCACGTCGAATCATAATCGAATGAAGTGAAAGTGTGGAAAGTCTAGTGGTTGCGGATAGTTTTAATTTCTTTTCTTTTCTCTCTGTTTTTGAATACCTATTTTAAGAAAACAGCCAATACAGTTTGTTTGGTCCATGATATGGGTCCATTAATAGTGTAGTTAGATAAGGCTTGAAAAGATCTTTCCAACGATATATTATAAGCCCAATTCCGATGAATATTGAGGTAGTTATGGCCAAATTACTAAACTAGGCCCGGTTTGAGCCTTATATGCGGCACAATGATCTAGGGGAGGGCCTGATATGGATTTATCATTTCTAATGCAATTAGGAATGGTTTTAGTCTTCTAGATTCTTCTAGAAGGTTCTTTTCATTCCTAATTCAATTAGCATTGATAAATTGACTTTTGTTAACTTTCTGGAATTTTAATCAGAATAAAAGAGTGTTTTGGAGGAAAATACAATTTTATCCTCCTGTACGGTTAAATTCTATCTGATTTTAGAAAACGTGTCAAAAAATTTATTAGCGCCTAACGCCAGCATTAGTGCCTGGCGCTAGCGTTAGCGTCTGGCGCTAATGTCAGCGTCTGGCTCTAACTCCGTTTTTTCACGTCAGAACTCTGGTTCGATTTTCTATCTTTTTGGCTGATTTTCTCTATAAATAGCCTCCTAAAAACTCTGTTTTGAATCATCTACAATCATCAATTCCTTAGTTCTCTAATTCTTTTCTCTCTCAAAGCTAGAAGCTTTCTTTCTCTCCTTTCTAAACCACCCTTTACACAAAATTCCGCATTCACAAGACCTAGGTACACCTAGCATAATTCGAAGTTGCCTTCGCCCTAGACGTGAAAGGTTTTAATTTATGAGCGTTTGGTCCCAAATCTCTCTTTCAATTATTATTTAATTTAATTCTTTGATTATTATTTTCCTTGAAGTTACTAACGCGTGTATTTTGTTATTAGAAAGAGGTACGAGGCATCCAAGTAAGTGCTTTAATTGTTTACATTGTTATTATGATATAGAAATCATGCTTAGGTTGTTATTATGATTCCTATTGTTATGTTAGGGTGTTTTGATCTTCCTAGTATCATGTTTAGGGTAAAGAATATAATGTCAATTATGATTTCTGTGATGCTTCCTATTTTCTTTCCTAATATTTTTGTTAGTATCATGTTAGGGTAAAGAATATAATGTCAATTAGTGACATGCTAGGGTTGGTTATTAATCTTGTTAGTATCATGCCTAGGATCTTGCTATTATTATGCTTTAACATGATCATGAATATTTTAATAATTGTTATAATAATTGTTATTGTTATTATTATTATGATGATTCGTATTATTATGTTGCTTGATGCTTATTTATTGTTATTGCTTGATCACAGCTTTTATGCATGCTTTAAGGGAATTTATACTTGTAATCACGCTTAATAAGATAATTAATAATCTTGTTTAGGGTTAATTTGATTATAATTCAAGTGATTGCCAATAATAAATTTATTTGTGCATTAATATTCAACCAACATAGATAAACAGGTTTAGGGTTAATCCTATTGATTGCGTGTTAGTCAGAAAGAGCACATGAATATGATCAGAATAAAGTAGAGTCCAATTATTAGGGCAGGTTCAATCTCTTTTAGGTTGGATTTGTACCGTCATCCTCGAACTACCAGTCATGGTTCCAGACCTATTGGAGTTGACGATTTCATGGATCGTTAAGGGGTGTAACGTTCACCTCGTGAACGGTTTACAAGTTCCTAAAACTTGTTGGCGACTCTTTTGCTCTATATTCTTTCCCTTTGGACGCCACCGTACTTTAGTGTATGATCACAGTGGGGTTCAAGCTAGGGATAATGCTTGAAATATTCCCTACAGTTTTTGGCGACTCCACTAGGGAGGATTTCTATTTTAATTCCTGAAATATATTTCGGCAATGATTTAGAATGAGTGGATGAGATTCGAAAAGTTCTAAGTATTTCAATTGCGTTAATTAACATTATTGTCATATGCATAAAAAAGATCTCATTGGAAAGACCCTCCGTAATGAGTTAAAACATAGGATTTTTACACGTAGGAAATTTGAGAAATATCTTTCACAACTAGGATCGAAATAATGCTGCGCGAAACTGGAAAATTTTATCGAGCACAGAAAGCTGCTGAGGATACATGGAGATGTGCTTGTCTTTGATACAACATACAGAACCAATAGATATAATCTTATATGTGCTCCATTTGTTGGCATAAATAATCACTGGCATAATTGTATGTTTGCATGTGCTTTTATTTGGGATGAAAAAACAGAATAATTTGTGTGGCTACTAGAAACCTTCTTGAAAGCTATAGAGAATAGAACACCAACTTCAACATTCACTGACCAGGACCAAGCAATGGCAAATGCAACTAAGCAGGTAAAAGATTTATATTGACATCTTGCAAATTTTAAGCTCGGACAATAATGTATAAAGTAACCCTTTTAATAGCATAAAGTGGCCCTTTTTAATGCATGAAGTGACCCTTTTAACCGCATAAAGAGGCCCTTTTATTTTCAATGTAGGTGCTTCCTAATACAAGGCATAGACTTTGTATTTGGCATTTGAACAAAATGCAATAACCATATTTGGGGATCTTAAAAAAGACAAAGAATTCAAGTATGCATTCAACCAGTGCTTAAAGTTGTGTGTGACAGAACAAGAATTTGAAGAAAGGTGGCAGGCAATGATGCAAAAATATGACTTGACAACACACTCTTGGTACAAAAGAGTGTACGAGTTGAAAGAGAAATGGTGTCCTGCCCTTAGTAGAGATTTATTTTCAACAAGAATCTTGTCGTTACAAAGGAGTGAAAGAACTAATCATGCTGCAGGATTCAAAGCAAGTAAAGCAACTACATTGACAGAATTTTATACCATATTTAAGAAGATAACCAATCGTTGGAGAAGCACAGAGAAATATGATGAGTTTACTTGTAGCAAGTTAATGACATTTACTTCATTGCCACTGTCCGGAATTCTTAAAGCATGCTGCACAGGTAAAAAGTTAACTAAAAATTTCATAAAATTATACATAATATATAGTAGTTTAAATGTAGCTCGCTACATGATTTTGTTGAACAGGTTTTCACTTTGTCACTCAGTAAAGATTTTGAAGAAGAGTTTGGATACTCTATGACAACAACTATTCAAATGATAGGGAGAACTGAAGAATGCTTACTTTATCAAGTAACCCTAGAAGACAAGTCATGGTCTGCACATCAAGTAAACTATATACATGAGAGCCAAAGTGTACAGTGTACATGCAAAAATTTTGAAGCATCTGGATGGTTATGTTACACTAGTAGAAAAATGATAATTGGCACCGAGGATTGGCCACCTGTTCCGGCAGGAAAAAAAGGGGAAAAATGGGCGGGATTTAGAAGGAAGGAAATTGCCACCAGTTCACACCGAATCGGTGGGGAAAATATTAATCCCGACGGTTCAAAACCGGTGGCTTTAATAAAAAAAAACTCGCCCCTCTTATTTCTCTCTTTCCTCCTCGCTCTCTCTCTCCTCTCCGTTCAGATATTCTCTTATTTCTCCCCCTTTCCTCTCTTTTTCTTCTCTACACCACTCTCGCTGCGCCACTCTCTATTTTATTCTTCTCTTTCCTTCTCACTTTTTTTCCTCTCCGTTCAGATCTTTCTTTCTTTCACTGTCTTTCTTCGTTGTCGGTGGTGAATGTTATCGGTGGTGACGGTTCTCGCACCATCGTAATGGAGGGTCTATTTCTTCACATAATCAAGCTGTATGGTGGTTGATCTTTGCAATGGTGTTTGATCTCTTCACGAGGTATGTGCTCGTCGATTTGAATCTAGAGTTTTGATTTTTATTTACTTTTTTTTTTATTAATGATGAACAATTGAAAGTTTGATTGAATTTAATGGTGACATTGAAAGGGTTTTTGAATTTTATTTAGCTATTTGTGTTTATGTTGCTCTCCGATTTGATTATTGATGGTTGTCATTCTAGTAGAATAATTTGCGGTAGTTTTCATTAATTTATGGGGCTAAAAGACTTTATTCTGGTTCAATGGATAACACAGTAAAGGTTTGGGACCTGGAGACTATGCAATGCCTCCACACCCTTGCTAAGCACTCTGAGGTTGTGATGTCCGTGCTTTGTTGGAGCAATTTCTGCTTTCCTGCTCTTTGAACCAGACATTTAAGGTAGATATACTTTACTCTAGCTCTTAGGTTTTAGTAAAGTAATATGTAAATATGACAGTTCTTGTAGCATTTTAAGTTTTTTTTTTCCGTTACATTCTAAGCAATTCTGTACACTTTTCAATATGCAGATTTGGGCTGCCACTAAAGCAGGAGAACTAGAGGTCACTTATGAACACTAGGAGAAGCATGTAAGTAATCTCTAGACAATTTTTCTGCATCATTTTTTGATGTGTAATAATTAACTTATAATTCAATTTTAGAGTTTCACCTCATTTATTTCGTTTTACGTTTGATGAAAGCGCTTCAATTTTTTGGATGTTTACATTCATTTTTCATCTCATTTCTTCTATTTTCGATCTATTGGTTTCATAAGTAGCTAGAAATTTCCAATCAAATTGAGCAAAGTTTAAAAAGGTTAATTTCAATTTTATTTATTTGTTTGGATTGGTTGTGTTGCAGACGGTTAATTTCGATTTTGATTATGCTCACAGGTTCAGCTCATGCATTTAATTAGTTTAATTTGCAAATTTTTTACACATGCATCAATATATTCTAAATCAGTAGGTAAATTTTTACACATGTATTCAATTACGTACAGGCTGCTATTTGTATTTCCCTGTTTTTTTTGGGCATATCTTCTAATTGTTCGAATAAAATGTTCTAGCTGAATTTCACTCAATCTTTTTGCTGATTTTGGATCTGTATTGCTTGTATGTGATACCTTTTTTTCTTTTTTTTTTTTTTTTTTTTTTTTTTGCATCGAGTTTTCTGGGTTTTGGTTGTGGGTTTTGATTGTGATTGCTTATGTAGGTTGCATAGTGGAATTCTACATTCAATTTCAAATGTAGGTTGTATAATGGAATTCTACTTGGAATGAGGGACTAGTGAAGCTAACTTGGCAATGTTGCAGCTTCTGCTGTCCTGCCAAGGTTGCTGCTGCAGCTGCCCTTCCGTCAAGAATTTTTATGTGACTGATTTTGTGAACCGAAATACCATGATAAAACCAGTTCAAGAGGTTCTTACTACTTGGGTTTGTATTTTGATTATAATTTCTGTATTTAGTTAGAATATCTTTATGTATGAGTTTTGTATGATTTTATTATGTTACTTAATTAGGTGCCTATAATCTCGAGCTAGATCTGGACCTTCTAAAGGATCCTTTTAACATTGATAAGATTAATTTTTTAATGGAATAAAGGATATATAAAGGATATACCATTGCATCAGAATTCTACATTTGCATCTAGTAACAAGAATATCAGACAAGTATGTGTCAAAAAGATGGACTAAGTTTGCAAAAACAGAGGCATGAGATAGGTTGAAGAATCAGGATCCTACACAGCAATATATTCCATGGAGGCAAACAATGATAAGGAAATACTACAATTTAATCTTAAAAAGTCAAGAAAATGAAGAAACAAGAGCATTTATGGAAGAAAGCTTCAGAAACAGCCTTAAAATGGTGGAAGACTTACTTGCTAATGATGCTCAGAGAGAAAGTGCCAAAAGCTGCTTCTAACATTCCTGATGTGCCATACAATACTCAAAGCAATAATGATGTTTCTTCAGCATCGGAGTACAAGCAAAAGTGTACCAACAATACTTGATCCTAAAAGGGCTGTAACAAAAGAAAGAAGCAAGAGAGCAAAAGGAGGTCTTGAAAAAAGCAAGAGAAAAAGAAAACCAACACTACCACCTCCACATTCAGAATTTGGATCTAAGACATCTAACTTATGACTCTTTTAGGAACTTTTTTTTAGAACTTTTTTTTTTTCAAAATTAATATACTTTGTATTGTTATATTATTTTTTTACCCTATGACTAGTTTGATTAAAATTTGATTGATACTATTATTAGCACACGTTTAATTTGTGGAAACATGAACTTATGTTACCCTTATTATCCATAAAAGTTACCCTTTTTATGGACAAAAGTTAACCTTTTCATGCATAAAAGTTACCCTTTTCATACATCAAGTTACCCTTTCTATCCATAAAAGTTACCCTTTTCATACATAAAGTTACCCTTTCTACCCACTAAATGTATTCTTTCATGTATAAAAGTTACCCTTTCTATCAATAAAAGTTACCTTTTTCATGCATAAAAATTACCCTATCTACTAAAAAAGTATCCCGGTTCGTGTACAAACTTATTCTTTCTACCCACAAAAGTAACCCTTTTTATGCTACAAAGATCACCATTTTATGCACAAAAGTGACCCCATAAAAAACATACAAAAGAACATTTCAAATTACTTAATGTATGCACATACATCAGTATTCCAAAAAAACCAACCAAAAACTATACAATAAGTTTATTTACATCATTGAACTCGATGTATATGCACATACATTAAGTTTTTTCATTGTTCAAAAAATACTCCTAGACCTAATAACCAACAACCATTTCACTCTTTAAAAGAAATGTACTTTTTTTGTCTGCTTTTTTGCCCTTTTTCTTTGGGCTTTTCTGCTTTTGCCTCTGCCTTTGCTGTTGCTTCTGCTGCTTTTCTTCTTTCATCATTTTCTTTCTTCTTCTTCTCAGCAATAGCATCCTTTCTTCTTAATTCAATTTCCTGGACGTACGTAAGCAGCATCTTTCTTCTTCTCGTTGAACTTGGCTAATTTTGACAACACATCATTCCTAGATTCATTCAAATCACACAGTACAAGTGTGGTACATATCTGTCCTCACAGAAATTTTCTTCCAACAACCTCACAACAGAAAAAAAGTTATCAATATGTAATTAATAAAAAACATTAGAAAGGGAAAAACTACAGACAAAGTAGATGAATAATTACTGTTTTGAGTTCATTTAATTTGAATGGTTCGCCAAAAAATTGGAGCATGTGATGCATGACAAACACCCCACAGTCCAAGTTGTCAACTTTATCTTTTCTACATTCCAACTCAACAATTTGAAACTCATAAGAAGGGAGCTGAGAACTCTTTGGATGATTTTTTTGCCAAGAAAAGAACCCAATTTGACATAAAATATAAAAGTTTAGAATACATTAAATACAAAAAAAAGGTTAAAATGAAATAATAAATCAACAGAAACATATCATTTGTGAAGACAAATCTTTAAAATATTCAAGACTAGAATCATGCTAGATAATGTTGTCAAGATAATATACCAACTCTTTTGTATGATCAAACAACAAACAAAATGCAGTGATTCTCAACAAAATTAGGAATATAGATCTGAAACAGCAAGATTAAAGATGATTTAGACAGAGCATATCACAAACATAACTCTTTCAAAGGTATGCTATTTGATTAGGGGATTTTTCCCCACCAGTCACCATCTGACAAGTGGACCAATCAGGTTCCGCCATGTGTCCGTCACATGGGCCAATAGGAGCCTGCCACGTGTCAAGCAATGATCCGTCCACCATGGACCAATTACGACACGACACATGTCCTTCCCATGACACCTGGGATAACCGGTCACCTAGGCTCAACTTCCGAGGGAAGCCCAATCAGCCCAAGGTTAACCTAAACCTAGATTGACACGTTTCCCGAGGTTATAAATACCTCCCTTAATCCTCATTAAGGGAGAGAGAACACGCTAAAAACGCAGATTACACATATTAAACACTCTCACCTAGAGAGACCCAATCACTTTAATTTCCGCATTAATTACTCCTTAATCAAGTACTAACTTGACCGTCGGAGGCGGATCTCCAATCATCCGGAGCATCCGTTTGTTTTGCAGGTACAGGCGTCCGGTTCCAGTCTCGGAATTGTAACTCTCCCGCAGGACATCAGAAAACCCCGAAACATTTGGCGCCGTCTGTGGGGAGAGTACTTCTGAGATGGTATCCACGTCTGTACCGACTCCTGAAGAGAGGCGTCCCCTAGACGACCCTCAAGTTCAATCGGACCACGATTCTGAGAATGAATTTGAAGTTGAAGCTCACACAGCTTCAGACGGGACCCTAAGGGCCCGACGTACCCGTCATACCGAAAGGAGGGAACGGGAACATCTTCAAACTGGAAGTGAGCCAGCAGGCGCACCGCCTGTTCGGCAGCAGCCGACTGATGGGTCTTCTCCCATCACAAGGAACGAACTCATGACCTTCATGAGGGACTTCAAGGGAGAAATTCAAGAGTTGATCAACAAGAAGCCGCCTGCTCTGGACAAGGAGCAGTCGGCTAAGAAACCCTCCACTTCACTGAAGAGGAAACCAGTTCAAGGGCGAGAGGCGACCCCTCATCCTAAATCTAGGAAGTGGGAGCCACCTGCCCTTGATTTCACAAAATACCGTTTTCCTACTCCAGGAAATAGGAAACCTGTTCGTCATATTCAGGCGGACGGGTCGAGGAAAACATACACAGACGCTCGGCTACTGCTAGAGCAGAAGAAGAGTAGCCGATTGTCAGAGTCGGCCTCTACTTCAAACTTCCAAGACAGTCTGCGAAATACCTCAATGAGGCATACTCAATCGTATCGTGAGAGTCAGTCAGGCGGCACCTCCCGTCAGTCCGGCTTTCATAGCGACCAGGCGGTACCAAACTTACCGTTTGTACCGCAACAACAGTATTTTTTACAGCCACCTCCGTTTGGTGGACATGCAGCAAAAAATGTCCAACCTATGGACTGGCAGCTACGGTTGCTTAGACTTGGTGAACAGCCGTCGGCCTTCTCCAAGGAAATTACTGAAGCCGCTCAGCCGGCCAAAGTGAAAAATGTATTAGTAGGCGCCTATGACGGCACTACTAACCCAGAAGACCATCTGATGGCATTCACCAACCTGATGTACCTTCAAGGGTTGGATGATCCCACTTGGTGCAAGTGTTTCCCAGCGACTCTCAAAGGAATCGCACAACAATGGTTCGGCAACCTGCCGACTGGTTGTGTAAATAACTTCAAGACGCTTGCTTACTTATTCACCTCCAACTTCGCCATGAACATCCCTGCGAAGAAGACGACCCTTGATTTAGGAACAATTCAGCAGGGCGAGAAGGAGGGGCTTCGTTCTTACATCAGGCGGTTTAACCTGATGAGAATACAGATTCAAGGGTTACCGGATGAAGTAGCCTATACTGACTTTTTCAGAGGTCTCAAAGACGGGTCGACCTTCAAATTTGATTTGGTCCGAAAGAGGGTGGCGACTCTTCAAGAGGCCTTGATTGAAGCGGAAGCCTATATACAGGCGACTGATCTTTGTAGTACGGTAAAACAGTCGGACGGGAAAAGGTCCGACAAAAGAGAAGGACGACAGAAACAGTCGTTAAATAAAGACGAGAAGAGAAAAGAGGTTTGGGCGGCTGATT